CGCGCCCGCCAACCGCGTCGTTCCTGGCCGCCCCGCACGGCGGCATCGCGAGCCCACCCGGTGGTTTTCTTTACGACGCAAAAGGGATGCCCAACCCACCGGGCGGTGTGGGCTACGACGCGGGCCTCACCCGATATTCAGACTACCCCGCACCCGCCAAGCCCCCAGGAAATGGCGCCCCCGCGGCACCCATGGGTGGCCTCGCCCCAGGGGCGTTTCATTCGGCCCCTCCGTCTGGGTCGTCCATCCCTTAGCATCCCCCTCCGCATGGATGGGTTGGGCCGCTGCATTTTGGATTTGCTTAGCACTCGTCATTTACAACTCTTCTGTTGTCTTCAGAAAACGAGGGTGGCGTGCATGCTTTTTTTCATCACTCCCATTCTTTCCTTCAGTAGATAAATTCAATGATCTAAAGGTTCGGTTTGGTTTGTACGGTTTCCTCTATGCAGTCGGCGATTTGGATTCCTTCAAGTGATGTCCTGTCTACGATGATTCAGACAGGAAAACTTCCCTGACGTCTTCAACAGCCCTGGTGGTCGCCAACCTTCACAGGTCAGTTTAGGGCCATTTCAACTGCCGGTTAACTGGATTGTTTTCAATACATTCTTTGTATGTAGATTTGAACGTAAATCAGAATAAGTAAACCACTTTCTTCTTTATTATTGTTGAGCTATTTTTTACCTTCCTTGATGAATTCAAATGCCATTCACAAGTATCAGGTTTGTCATTTCATTTTTTTCTCAAAAAAGACAGCGTAGACAGTAGTTGGGTATTTTAATGGCTGCGTCGAGTTTTTATATGAAATAAAAGAAAAATTTCGAGGTAGGATGGGTTATGTAAAATGATAGCTTACTTGAGAGTTTTGTAACGATTAGAAGAGGGGGAAGGGGATAAGAAATATCAACTTTTTGCTATTTCGATATCATTGTTATTAGTATTTGCTTTCCGTGTGTACTCATGTGGGGTTACATATCGTTTCTAATCATTCGTATGACTTGTTTTCTTGATTTCTCTTTATCTGCCCCCCTTTGTCGTCGTTACGGGTGTTTTTCCTGCTAATTCACCAATTAAGAATACAAAGTGAGATACACAGCACATAACTACACCGGGTGCATTTTTTTTCTTCCCTTTGAAGTTCTCCCATCTATTTTCCCACGTAAACGGACAAAAAAACGATCCCACTCCGTGCCCCGTTCCCGTTCCCGATCCTGCCCACCCACAGTCCCGTACGCTACGCAAAGTGAAGCCTAGTGACGCTACGCCAGGTTCGCCCCGAGCTGGAGCCTTCTCTGCGATGTCGCAGTTCTTCGATGAGGACGTCTACGCGGCCTTCGAGTCGCCGGGCTCCACGAAGGACGTCTGGTCGCCCCACCACGCGAACCCCCTGCTGAACGGCGCCACCCATGGGGGCGGGAACGCGTTGATGGCGGCGCCGCCCTCGCAGTGGGGGGCCACCGGGATGGGCACCACCTGGGGGCTCCCGGGGAGCCGGCTGGGAACGATGGGCGGCGGCCTCACGGGGGCGCTCCGCCCGATGACCTCCAACCGCGCCGTCGGTTTCAGCGCGACCGGGAGCAACTTTGACCCTGCCGGGCAGGGTGGGAACATGAATCTCGCGCTCGGACCCGCCCCGCCGCTGAAAAAGCGCAGCGAGAGCAGCCCCGAGGAGCTCTGTATCGAGTTAGAAAAGCAGGTGAACAAGCTCATCGAGGAGAGTGCGATGTTGGCCCTCCAGAAGGACTATGGAGGGGCTCTCGAAAAGGCCAAAACCTCTGTTAAGAAGGAGAAGCAGCTTCGGGCGCAGAGGGAGCAGCTTGGCTTGGTGGACCAGATTAACACGGACCTAACCTGGGGGGTCAACTTCAATTTGGCGGTGCAGTACCAGAACCACGGCCTCTATACGGACGCCTTCAGCACGTACAATATGATGATCATGAAACCACAATTTGCACAGGCAGGGTGTCTGCGCGTGAACATAGGAAACATCTACGCCGCTGAGAAAAAATACTTAATGGCCATCAAAATGTACCGTCTAACACTCGACGATACGAAGACCTCGTCCAAGGAGTTGCGGTACAAAATTTTTCGCAACATCGCCAATTGCTTCGTGAAGATGGGGCAATACCGCGACGCCGCGAATAGTTATGAGACAATTCTCGAGGGCAATGGCGATGTCGATGCGGGCTTCAATCTCATCATCTGCTACTATGCGCTTGGTGAGGTCGAAAAGATGAAGCGCACTTTCTCGAAGATTCTTAACAGCAGCCCATTTAGAGCAGAAGGCGAGGAGGATTTTGGCGAAAAAGAGGAGAACGATGACGTGCTTGTGGATGATGCTCTGCATAAGGAGATGAAAGAGCGCCGCACAAAGTATCTGAAAAAAGTCATCACCGCTGCGCGGTTGATCGCACCCGTGCTGGACGAGGACTGGCGCGTCGGGTACGACTACCTCATTGACCAGTTGCGCCAGTACGAAATGTTCGACTCGTCTTCGCATATGTCGAGTGAGCTGGAAATGTGTAAATGTCTTAACTACCTTAAACACAAACGTTATCAAGATGCCATTAGTGGGCTTAGGGCGTTTGAAAAGAAAGACCGGGAGTTGCGTGCACGGGCCGCGACGAACTTGGCGTATTTGTACTTCTTAGAGGGTGACTACGAAAACGGGGAAAAGTATAGTGACATGAGTCTAGAGGCAAATCAATACAATGCTAAGGCGTTGGTTAATAAGGGCAATTTCTTCTTCGTGAGGGAGGACTACGAAAAATCGAAGGAGTACTATAATAAGGCCCTTTCCGTGGAGTCTGACAACATGGAGGCGATTTACAACCTAGGACTCACGGCGAAGCGCCTAGGTTTGTACGATGAAGCGATCAAAATGTTCAAGCGTGTGCAGATGCTGGTGGACAGCAGCGAGGTGGTCTACCAAATCGCTGACGTCACCGATCTCATCGGATACCCGGACGCGTTGGAGTGGTTCAAGCGGTTGAACGGGCGCGTTTCGATGGACCCTAATGTTTTAGCTCGGATCGGTTCCTTGTACGCACGGGAAGGCGACGAGACGCAAGCGTTTCACTTTTACCTGGAAGCGTACCGCTACTACCAGGTGAACATCGATGTCATCCTGTGGTTAGGCGCCTACTTCGTGAAGAATGAGGTGTATGATAAGGCCACCCAGTTCTTCCAGCGCGCCTCCGAGATCCAGCCGCAGGAGGTGAAGTGGCATCTGATGGTGGCCTCTTGCCACCGTCGGCGTGGTGACGCCGTTCAGGCAAAGCGGCTTTACGAGGTTATTCATCGAAAGTACCCCGATAACGTGGAGTGTCTAAAGTATCTCGTCCAGCTTTGCAAGGACGCGGGGCTGGTGGATGAGGCGAATGAGTGGTTTAAGCGGATGAAGGAGGCCGAATGTCGGGAGCGGAACGGCGCGGATAGCGAGGATGGGGCGGAGAAAGAGGGGGCGGCGGACGGGGAAGGGGGCGCTACCGCCGGGCGGCGGGCAGGGGGGAGCGCGATGTCCACGTTGGATACCGCCAACGGACCTTCCATCACGGACGGCGATGTGAAGAAGGTGGTGAGGCAAAAACCGATGGAGGATTCGGACGACGATATTGAGCTTCCGGGGGTGTAAAAACGTGGGGATTTATAGGAATTCCCGCATCATAGTGAGTGGTGGTTGGTCCGCTACTTTTCTTTCTGAAATGATTTCTACTACAAAGTGAGGGAGAGGGGGGAGTTTTTTCTTTTCTAAAGTTTTAGTACTTTAGCTTTCCGATGAGCACCTTTTCCAGGTGGACACGTTATATATGTACGAATGTATAAATGTACTTACATATATTCAGGAAGGCGCCATAGTGGATCATTATTTGAGGAATGCGCATTGCGATTGCCAAATGCACCGCAAAACATTTTTCATGGTTTTATATTTTCGGAATGAAAATATGCAATATTGGGTTAAGAGATGGATGAAAAGAGTATCCCATCTCAGCTGACTACAAACATGCGCATACATACACAGTATAGAATATATTTTCTAATGGATTCTTTTCTTTTGCACAGAAGACATCCGAACTGAAGGATAGATTTGTGTCTTTATCGAAATCGATATGCTGTTAAAGGGAAACCGGTGCTTTCGTGAGGTATGTACATATTTTTGCAGCTATTTTACCATGCACGCAAAAAATATATATATTTGGGCATCTAAAAGGCCTGTATGCCTTCTTTGTACATGTTCCCTTCCGGATACATGATTGGAATTTCTGACCTGCTTAAATGAGTTTGTGCCAAATATATGTATTTTTATCATTATCGGTCTATTTCTTACTCCACATTATCCAGGTGAGCGTATGTGAAGGCAAGGTGGAATCCTCCTTTCCGTTCATCTTTATTTTTGTTCTTTTTTTTCTTCTCAGATCAATGCAGAATTTCAGTTCACCGTCTTTTGGCGCATCACTGGTCCGGCCACCCTGTCGGGCTAACGAACTTCAGTTTCAGCGGTTTACTACTGGGCTGGCAGCTGTTCTTAACCAATGGACGGCGCTGCATCTCGTAGCCCAGCACTGCAACCGCAATGCTCTCTCAACGCTTTATCAGGATCTAGTCGATTGGCATGAAAAGAACGGTGAAGTGTACTCGGACGAGATGGAAGACTTCTTCGAGGAGTTCTTCTCCACCGCGCATTCAGTCTTGATAGAAGATGACAGCATGAAGGAGGTGGCCGATGTTCTGCATGACATGTATTGCCGCTGCTGCCAAGACGATTTTTCAATCGTCGAAAGGTTTGTTCAGCTAGAAGCTACGTACCGGCAGCTCGACCCGGTTGGTAGGTCTGTCAACGCGGGAATCGGCGCCTTGGACGATAGCGACTCTGAATCCGTTTTAGCTGAAGAAGGTGTTCAACAGAACAACGGGGCAATTCCTGAGTATGCAAACGAAAACGAAGAGGAGGCACGAGATGTAGTGCAAGATGCTGCCGGTAGTAAAAAATCCAACAAGCGTAGAAAAAATGCCTACAAAAAGAGTTCTGATGGGTGGAATGTCGTACAGTAGTTAAAAGTGTAAAAGTGTTTCTATTGAATCGAAACGCGTTCATGCGTGTGTAAATGTGTGGTAAAGGGATAAGGTGAGCTGAAGTTTCCTTAGTAACTTCTTATCACACGAGAAGAAAAACAACGTATAATTACCATTAATGGATAGTAATAATTAAAAAATGTGGTGGTAATGCCGCATCTTTTTTCCCCTTTACTATGGTGAGCGGCGATATCATGATAGCTGATTTTGCCTGGAGAAGGGATAGGATGCATACCATTCACTAATATATTTAGTTGTTATTTTTTTTTTTGGTCAACGGAAAGCAAACAAGAGCTACAATGTGCTTATTATTCTTTCTCCTTTTTGTTGTGATTGTTTTCATTATTATTTTTTCTTCGTGTATATCGGGGGGTGGGACAAAGATCAAAAAGACGTGTACTTCCCAAAGATAGCGGAGAAAGGGACAACCAAAGACGTAGGGTGAAACCAAACCAAATAAAAAGCTACCCGAAAAAAAAACATGTGGCACCGTCGTTCTCTTCAGGTGACCTCCACACGGCTTTTGCCTCTCTACCATGCCCTTTCGTTCTCACCCCCGGCCTGTGCATCTCCCGTGCGGGGCATTTTCTCCCGCAGTTATAAAACACCCGTGGTGATGAAGAAGGGAAACTACGCCTATATGGCGACGCTGCTCTGGCAGTGGCGTAGCGATCGACCTCGTCATCTGGTGCTGAGCTTAGATCGCCCCCCTGCGCATCTTTCGGCGGATAGCTGTGTAGAAGATGTCGAGCACGGCACCGAGGACGCCACCGCGTCCGGGGTGAAGCCGAGCTACACCTTTGGGCGTCTTTTCCTCCGCCCGATCAACGTCGCTCAGCTGCTCGCGGTGTTGGTCGGCTGGGCGACGGATCCCGTGCGAATCGAGCGGCGGCATACCACCCTCAGCCTCATCCCGGATCCTTCCGCCACCTCGAGGCAGGGGTTGCGGTTGTCGTCTTTTCTTCTCCAGGGAACCTTCACGACGAAGTCGTTGCTCGCGAGCGCGACCACGGGAAGCCGCGAGGAGGGTCACCCCGGATCGGTGTACAACGACGAGGATATTCGCGCGATGGAGCTCCGTCTGGACGGGTCGGAGTTGGTTTTGCTCACCACCTACCTGGAAGGGGTGCTATCGGATTGCTTTGGCATCGAGCACGTCTACCACCGGGCGAAGGCCGCGAGGCAGCGGCAGGGGCCGCCAGCCGCCCGCTACCGCAGCCAACAGCGGCAACGACCGCCCTCGTCGACGCGGGTGAGGGCGCGGGAAAGGGCGATCGTCGACCCTGCGTTGAGCTCCGCGTTTGATTTCCCGGGCAAAACCCCTCCGATCACGACGCCACCACCAGGAGGGAACCCCTTACCCCCTTCCTCTCCCGCCGCCGCGGCGGCGGAAGGGGGGGAGGAGGAGGAGTTGTTTGACTTTGACGACAGCCCCCCGATCTCGAGCGTGGAGCCGCGTGGAGGGGCCGCCGCGGAGGCGGTGCGGATGGGGGAGATCGCGGAGCCGAGCGAGGAAGAGGTGGAGGTTGAGGATGACGAGGATGTGGATGTGGAATGGCAAGAAGAAGAAGAGGAGGACCTCGAGGTCGACGTCGACTTTGACAACGCGGCGGGGAAACCAACCAAGGGGAAGGGGGATCTCTCTAAATCGGTCCACGCCGCCGCCCCGGCCGCGGGTGGGGCGATGCGAGAAGGGGCTGGAAAATCGGCCTCGCCGATCACCTCCGAGGCCGTCGACGCGTTCGATCCCGTGGAGACTAATGCGGGGGCGGGGGCAATCGAAAAGGATTTGGAGGTGGGGAGGCGCGATGCGACCAACGCCGCGCACGCGGCCCGGCGGAACGACCCAAGTCCTCCAGGCGGGGCTCTCGGCGGCTCGAAGAAGTCCCCCGCCTCCTCCGCTCCGATCGACGGTGAAGGATCCTTTCAGAAATCCGAAAAGGCGCATGAAGTTGATATTATAGATATGCAGCATCGGACGCTGATGTCAGGGGCCGGACCGACGGCGCCCAAGGTCGCGGCTGCTTCCGAAGTCGGAGCTCGTGAGGGGGGGAGGGGTTCGACGCCCGATCAAACCGTAGACGTGACGGCGGCCGACGCCCTCCGCCGCGGTGCGCTCGCGGCCGCTAGCGACGCCGCCGTCGCGGGATCGGGTGGGGCTCTCACCGGTGCTGCCCCGCGCGCTTCTCCTGCTGACTCCAATAACAGGGAAAACGCCGTTGGAAAAGGCAAAAGCCCTTCAAGTAAAATCCCTGCAGGAGACGTTCAAGCCAGGAGCGAGGGTGCGAAGAAACGGAAAGGTGCTAAGAAAAGCTCACGAGGAAAGGCAAATAAGAAGGATAAAGCCGGCAGTAAGAAGCGAAAATAGGCAGAGTTGAGAAATTTGCATAGGGAAGCAAGCCGTAGCGATAGCAACGGTAAAAAAGGGATGATCAGATATAAGAGATGGTATAAGAAACCATAGCGGCGATTGCGCGGCATAAATTCTTTGTTAGTACTATTATTGTGTGGATACTGTTGTTTTCTTAGCAATAGTGTAATTTATTCTTAATCCCCCTTATAGACACCTCATTACTCTGCGATAGATTAATAACGATTCCTAAACAGGGCGAATACAGAGAAGGCCAATAAGCTATTAGCTTTCTCTGGAAATAGATTAGCACCATTCAAACGAATGGATTGAGATATTTCCCTTTTTACATGTGTTTCTTCTTGCATTTCGTTCTATTTCGCGTTGTCCGATTTGTTCTGACGTTTTCTTCTACATTGTAGAAAAATTTCCTTTTTTTTTTCTTGTACTCATAGAAAATCTCTTTTCTAAAAGGGAGTTCTTTTAAAAGCCTTCGCCATATTTATGGTAGAATCTATTAGGGCTTTTCAACCCGAGTAGAATTGATTTCGTGGTACTTTTAGTTTCTTGATTCTTTGCTTACAACTACGTCTGCATTTTACAAGCAGAATTCCGAGAAAGGAAAAGTCCAACAACAGTGTTTTTCTCTTTTTTCTTCTTCAAAAAATTAGAGTGAGCCCTAACCAACGGAGTGAGGCGTCATCAACGGTTTGACCCGCATCAAACTTAGTTGGACACCGCACCCCCCATTTTCTGTATCACTTTGATCTATTTGTATTCTATTTCGACGGTTTTTCAACCCCGCTAGAGCTATCTCTATCTCTATCTATCGATAGATATTGAGAGAGAGCGATCGATCGATCGATCGATCTCATTCGCATCCTTATTTTCTCGGTTCAACGGTCGCCCATCCGCGAGGGTGATCCGGACGACGTCGATGGCGCTGCTCCGTCTCGTCCGCCCGGCCTGGGGGCGGGGGTGGCGGCGGGCCG